CAGAGGAGGACAACCTCAGGTACTAGAACCTGCTGAAGAGCTAACAAGTTTATTTGTAAAGAATAGTTCATAAACACAAATATTAGAAGTTTTAAAACTGTAAACAGTGAAAATAAAGAGAAATGACAGGATCAAACTGAATACTGGTGAGATGATAGTTTATAATTTGTCTTTCTCAGTTATGTGTGTGTGCTTGCCTACCTGTGCTGGGCTTCCAGACGCTGCTCCAGCTTCTGCTGACAGAGCACAGCATGCTTCCTCCTCAGGGCCTGCTCAAAGCCTGGCTGGGCCTGCAGTGCCTGCTCGTAACACAGAACTGAGTGGTTGTATTCCCCAAGCATCTGGTCAGACAGTGATAGAAGAGGAGACGTACAGAGTATGGATATGGCCGAGGTCAAACACTGATTTGTTTCATGTAGAAATTACACTGCGACAAAAATAAAACAACTAAACCAACTAAAAGTATGAACAGAAGTTTATGAACAGAGCTTTACACACACTGGTGTAAAGCTTTTATATGCCTTTATAAACTGACCAGTAAGAAAAGACATTTCTGACAGCTGAATTCTGGCGCATTTGTGTTTTGGGAACCCTGAAACTCGGCTACAGATGGTGAGATAGCAAAACTCATTATCAATAAATCTGCCACCACACTAGGTACACATCACTCCCCTGTGAGCTGCTGTCTCAATAGTAGGAAAAAAAAGAAAAGAAATGAAAACCCAGCTTACTGTTATTTAGTGGGCCAAGTCCTAATTAGCTATTTATTTCTTATTAACATCTAAAACAGTATGGACAAGTGAGCTGAGCAGCAAACAAAGGGAAACTGAAACCATTTCCACACACAACGCACATTGTTCAACCAATACATGCATCAATAATTCAGTTCACTGGGTAATTTAACTTTCAAATCTTTTTCCACAGTAAACCACAAAAGTCTGTAAGCTGTAACGTCTTACTGGTACAAAGTACACTGATGAATTCACGAAACAATAGCTGTGATAGTATGGTGTTATCAATTTGATTGACCAGTTGGTAAGTTTGTGGTTTAAATACACAAGCCTCTACTGCAGTTGAATGACTTACAGCATAAATGTTGCCTAAGGTGTAGTGGCTGGTGAAGAGATCTGAGGTAAGGTCCAGGGCAGCGTGGGCGAGAATAGCAGCATCTGCTGAGAAATGGGCACGGTGCAGGATGTTTGCCATGTTGACCAAGGCTACATCCTTGTGCTGCCTACAAGTACCACACACACACACACACACACACACACACACACACACACACACACACACACACACACACACACACACACACACACACACACACACACACACACACACACACACCACACCACAAACACACACAGCATGAGGATGTGGACACTTGCGAGCAGTCTCATTTAATGTAGCACAGTATACTAGTGAATTGGGTTTCTGAGCAGCCTGACAGTACCTTGGAGAGAAATGCAGAGCACGCACCACACAGTCCACTGCCCTCTGAGGCTCGTTCTTCATGCGCCAGTAAAATGACGCCATGTTGTACAGCACCCAGGACGATGAATTCTGGAAAACAGACACACATAGACTTTTCTAAACTTCTTTGAAGGACTAAGTGTTGACTGTTTCTCTGATACCCTGAATATGTCTGGACTTGTGGTGATAGTAATTATTGTTTCACTTTTTTGGTATTACTAACACATCTTCAAAACCACACTGATTTTCTGATGCTGACTGAAAGGAAGGCAGATGTACACACACACACTTAAACAGATATTATGTACTTCCCGATTTGCCATTTCTTCTGAATCTAATATCTGGGGTTTTTCTACACACAGTCCACACTTTTGTTCAATAGCTACAAAGGGGAAGTGGTTTAGTGAGCAAAAGTTGTACAAGCAGACCTTACCCTCAGTAAACCTTGATGGATGCGATGGCCCACCTCATCAACACTGCGGCCCAGTTTATGAGACAGTGAACTAAAAATGGGATCCTCCTTAGAAAGGAGTGGGGAGGTCAAGTTTGCCCTCTCTTGCACACCCTGGAACAGACAAATGGGAAGAGTCAGTCACTTGGAATTTTAGCGTGTGATCAAATACAGACACTCTGCTGTGTAAATAATAAGCAGTGCACAGATTACCTCACCTAGCAGCAGGGTTAACTGAAATTCTCAAGTATTTTACAACTAGATAAACAGCATACCAACTCCCCAAGCACACATTTAAACTATATACAACTTTACACAAATATTTACACTATATACAAATAAATATGACATGCTGGTGACCACACAGCAGAATATCTGGTTATCTGGGTTTTTCACTCTCACTGTAGCAGAATATATTTACTCATTGGTACTTGCCCACAAAAATACCACTGCCCTTCAATCTTTACCCAAGGGCCTCTCAAAATTGCTGTTGGACTTGAATGCAACCTTTAGAAAAGATCATGTTGTTCTTGAGAATTGGAGACACAGATTACAGTGATTTGCAAATCTCCACAGAGCCATTTTTTATTCTAAAAATGGTCACAGAATATAAATGTCTCGACCTCTGGCACAAAGGGAAATTTATTTTTACATATTATACGAACAATGTTGACGATAACCTGCAACCAAAACTTTGCTTTTTGTACAGAAACAAAACCAGCTAGTTTTCTCCTTAGTTCTGGATTACTGGGAAGTAATTTATTGGCATGCAGATGCCTCCACTATCAGCCTTTAGATTGGATTTCACATTAAGTTCTAAGGGTCAATACTGAAGATAATTACAACACTCACCACAGCATTTCATTTGATAAGGTTGGCTGGGCTTTCCAGACTGAGAAACTTAATAACCTTTGGCATGCAGATACAGTGTGGTCCAAAACTCTGGTCTCAGACTTTAGCATTTAAGGCTCCTAAGAGCACAGTGGCCTCCACAATTCTTAATTGGAATAAGGGTGGAACATCCATCTTCACACAGGATCTCTGGTCCATGCTTAACTTTCTCTAGTGACTAGGTGATGCTTCAGTAATCCTGTGCCAGAACTGATCTAGATAAAACTGCTGTTGCTGTTAGCGCACATTAATGCAAAAAAAAAAAAAAAAAAATCCAAAAGCTTATATCCATACTTCAATGGATATAACTATGCATCTGCTCTTACATCCCTTGAATAATTTTCCAGCTCAACTGTGAACACTGTTGCTGTAAAAATGCATGTCAGCTCTGCCTAACTAAAGGTTAAAGACATTCCCCACAGGATGCTTACATCTGATGGATGCAAATTGTGACTTTCAAGTTAACATACATTTGAGAGAGGACAGTACTCTTACAAATACTGTTACAGCACATCTCCAGTACATCCCTCTCTTAAACAGAGGTTTAAGTTGGCATATTAATTCTAACAAACAGGTTTTCTTTTTTTACACACACAGGAATTTGACCTCTGCATTTAACCCATCTGTGAGCAGTGAACACACACACACACACACACACACAGAATTTTGAACAAGGTATTGACAAGTTTGACCTTACTCACCCTGAGATGTTGGAAAGCATGGATACTATAAGGTAGTTCAAACACTTTTGCACAGTCAGGCTTTTCTAGGTCTGGAGGCAGAGCTGACCGAGAATCCACATAGTCTTCAGGACTACAGGGAGGAGAGGTGGGGGGGGGTCACATTAGGAAGGAACGTTCATCACTCAAGACTTAAACGGTGCCCAATCCAATAAACAAAAACACAGTATAGATAAGAACATGAATGTTGGGAGTTGTTGAGGAGAGCTTACCTGATCTCTTTGCCTTCCAATGAGATATAAGTACCATCATACAGGTCCAGGTCCCCAAGTGGTACCTTAGCCATGATGCAGTCTGCATCCTCTTTGTAGTGTCTCTGCTCTAGACCTGTGTCTCTGTCCTCATTCTCCTCAATGTGAATTTTCTGAGCCACCAGCTGCTTCTGCTCAACAATAACCAGGGACAATCAATCAGTGAGGACTTGTAAAAAAAAGAAATGAAAGAGAGGAAGAGAAATCCCACTTTGGTCCTTGCACATGACACTGACAAAGTGAAACACAAATACACACCTCCAGCTTCTTGAGGTAGTTAACACGAGTCTCTTGCCTCATGAAAATTACAACGTCATGTGGATGCTTCAGATTCAAAGGTGAGTCAACCTGAAACAAAAGTAGTGATGTAAGGACAGACAAACTGTGAACATGTTCATGTGAGTGTGAAATAGATTCCTTCGGATTAACCGAATGATACAACAGCATATCCAACCTAAATTGCAGATGTGCAAACTCCTGTCAGCCAGTCACATAAACATCAACAGTCTTTCTCTCCAAATGAAGTTGGCACCAGACAACATTAACGTAAACGCTGGCGTATTACATGCGATTTCAATCGCGGACATTGACATGGGTCTGAAGTATTTTGGTCATCTTGACCTCAAACACCTAACGATAACGCCAGTTTAAATGTAGCTGGTTGGAGCTAACTGACTCAGCCAAACAAAACAACTTTTTAATGCTCCTTTCTCGTAGTATGCGATATTACCGAAGACGTTAAACGAGTCTTGCTGAGTTCAGATAAACTACTCAAATAAAATAATAATAAAACCATATAACAAAACGGCACATGCTAACAAATATAGTTAGCCGCACAAGCTAGCCACCTAACGTACGCGTTAGCAAGGCAATGAGCTAGCTAACTGACATACTTGTTGTTGAATTTTTCCATCCTCTGTGACAACCCAATGAGTCGTAGCCCCTGCGGAGTCCACTATAAGTAAGCAAAGAAGGATGAAAATCTTCCCTTGAAACGATGTTTTTCGTGAACAACTGACACGACAGGGCAAAGACTCAGGACAGATTTTCCTGAGGTCCGCCATTTTTTTCTGCCTTCTTTTGCTCTGTGGCACCAACGGTAAAAACCAGCCTCCGGTCGGGAGGGGGCGCTGCTCAACACCTCACCAGGCACACGAAAGGTAAAAAAAAAAAAAACCGTTTATCTTTGATGACGTTTCGAAAAAAAAAACAGGAAATTCTGCAGAAACGAAAAGTCTGAGACGTTTTCACGTCAAAGGTACGTATATTATAAGAATTCTTGCTTTCACAAACGTAGTCATTACTTCAACGCTGTCGTTGCTGTGTTGCCGACGAGGACGCGTGTTTGTTGTCTGCTTTTTTGGTCAGTATCTTACTTTTAATCTCTTTTCAGCACAGTCAGGCTCGAAGTTGCAGTTCCGCATCCAGGGGCATGACTGGTCCATCAAGTGACAACATTGCCGACGCCGTTTATTAAGTGGACGTGTCAAGACTTTAGCGCCACAGTTTCGACACCCACACTATATATTTTACAATTTTAAGTCACTGGATGAAAGTATGACTAGTAGATGTGGCGCACAGCTGCAGCTCTGTAATTCTATTTAGACTCAAAGCTAAAGAAGTTCCTGTAAAGAACGTCTTGTTTTTATTCACAAAGGTCTATGTTATAATGATAAAATTATATTTTCAAAGCCTGCTGTAGGCAGTCATGCGAGCTATTAAAATAGTTTTGTTTGTGATCTTACTAAAAGCTGCCTGGAAAATCCCCAGTACTTTAGTTCCTGACCTGTGGCCATATGTAAAGTCATAATGAGGATCTTAATTAGTTAAACCATCCATTTTCTGTTACTTACCCAGTTCCAGGCCATTGTTAATGCTAAATTAATGATATTATAAGAAATTATTGTTACATTCTGCTGGGAAGTACTGACAAAACTGTCTGTAAACTCATGCCCTTTGTAAATAAGTCAAGGCATTATCACCTTTGCTTGTATTTATTGATATTTTTCACATCAAGGCCAGTTTGACTGTGAAACGAATATTAAATTGCATTTTGTGTGGTGTTGAAAAGGTCTACAAGAGTCTATAACTCAGTGAACCCTGCAGAAATCATGGAGTCACTACTGTATTGTCATTTAGCTGAAAGGAATAAGTTTATAAAACAAAGCAGAAACCTCATCAATGAGACACAAAACAAATGTTAATAACATGAAATTGAATATGTGATGGGTCGGACAAAAACATGCCTTTTGAGGAAATCCCCTCAGGCTTTAGCAAACTGTGATTTATTTATTTATTTTTTTGGTACTATTTAAGGCTGCTGTAGTCCCATTTTTGGAAAAATAAATAAATAAATTGCATGTTTTTGTCCCCCTCTCCACAGATGGCTTGCTTTGATAGCAGTAAGGGGAGTTTGGAGGAGGACAGCTATGAAGGAGCTGTCGGTGGAGAGCTGTCCGGCTGTGCCTTGGCCATGATGGAAAAGGAACGGGAGTCCCTTCTCAGCCCATCAGAGAACCATGGCACCTTCAACAGCAGCAGCTCCAGCAGCTTTCAGGCTGCCACCCCCCTGCAGGGCTACGATGTAGAGTTTGACCCGTCGCTAGAGAGTAAATATGAGTGCCCTATCTGCCTCATGGCTTTGAGGAATGCCGTTCAAACACCCTGCGGTCACCGCTTCTGCAAGAACTGCATTGAGAAGTCCATTCGGTATGCTATTGTGCAACATTGAAGACTAACTCAGGTTTATGGTGCATTCTTTAACGCCAGCTTCATGGCACATTCTTGAAGAGTTGTTCATTTGTTTTATTAGCAACAGAACAATCTGTCAAAATGTCCTTTAGCTATGTGTCTAAATGATGCAGTATTTTCACTGCCACTAGGCTTCCTGCTCAAACATAACACACCATGCAGAAACTGATAATATTAATGCTCAGCCTAAACAATTACTGTTCTTCCTCTTGCAAAACAGTGATACAGGACAGAGATGCCCTGTGGACAATGAAATGCTGTCAGAGGATCAGCTGTTTCCTGATAACTTTGCCAAACGGGAGATTCTGTCACTTACTGTTCGCTGCCCGAACTCCGGCTGTGCTGATAAAATGGAGCTACGACACTTAGAGGTGAGAACTTTTAAGGGTGACAGTCATCTCTGATTTTGAACTTAAAAATTTAATTTTGGAGTTTAAAATGACCTTGTTTTGCACAATAAGATTTAAATGATATTAAGATCATTGTGATTAATTTGTGTATTATACTTTTATAGACCATAAATAATCACAGAACAGGTAATTGTGATCTCTTATGGTTGATCCGTTATTACCATTGACCACCAACCTCAGTAAATAAGGAAGAAGTCGTCGTCTTCCTGACCTAAAGAGACTGTCGATGAAGGCTCTCGGATGATTTCAGAGGCTGCAACACTGTGTCCTTGTTTTGTGCCTGTTAAAAATGGGATGGATGTCAAGTAAAGAGCTGCATCTTTCTCTGCTGTAGACAATGAAATTGTTATATATGAGCCGCTGCTGTCCTACTACAGAATAAAATTAACGGCATTGTTCCAATGTATTGTTTTCCCTCCAGAATCATTTGGCACTGTGTCAGTTTGCCACTGTGCCTTGCCCTCAGTGCCAACAGTCTGTGAGAAAGAGCCACCTAGAGGAGCACACAACTGTTGAGTGCCAAAGGAGACCCATGTCATGTCCAGATTGTGTGGCATCCTTTGTTTACGAGGACAGAGAGGTACTGTTGACTACTGCCACTCTCGTTTCTTTTCCAGGAATAGTTCTCGCAGCAGAATCACGTAGCTGCATTGTGTATATCAGTGAGGATTAGTCTCCTTACAATCTGGTTTTTGGTTGCTCCTACAGCTTCACGAGCAGCAGTGTCCCTTTGCCAACGTGAAGTGCCAGTACTGTGAGATGGATCTCATCAGAGACCAGGTGAGTGCCACAGTCGCTGCCACGAGAAGGGCCTCTGGTCATAAATGTTTTTAGTTTGAAGTAGTGACCTGTTAATCATTTAAGCTAACTTCTGTTTACAAGAACTTCTCTTTTATTTAAACAACGGGGAAACAGTCAATACCCAGTCGCAGTTCATGTCATAGTTGACACTTCTGCAATACCAAGTGTTGACAGAGATGTTTGAATGGGTTTTGTGTCAGATTAGTTATATACAAGAGTTTTACTTCATTACATTTGTTCACAATTACACAGTGATAACCGACTTCCTGAAATGCTTGTTTGAAAAATGAAATCTGAATGAAACCGAGCTGATCATGTTTGTGTTTCAGATGGAATCTCATTGTGATACAGATTGTCCAAAAGCACCCATCGCCTGTAACTTTAGCACCTTTGGATGTAAGGAGAGGGTAGGTGACACAATTCAAAGTCTCTTATGTTACAAATCTTCTACACACTGTTGAGAGAACACCCGTTCAAAACTTGGGTTTGTTGCAGGACTGTTAGTCCTGCAGAGCAGATGTCACAGAGAAAAACTGTCCTCCCTCTGCAGATGCAGCGCCACAACCTGGCTCAGCACATGCAGGAGTTCACACAGATGCACATGCGCTACATGGCCGAGTTCCTGCGTGGCCTTAGCCTCAATGGCACCACACCCAAATCCCTGTGGGCGCTCGGACCTTCTGTCTCTTCTGAGGATCAAGGAGCTGCAGCATTAGTACCGGCTTCTAGTGGGCCCAGAGGTCCTGTAAGCTGCAGCAGCAACTGTGCTCCATCTCAGCCCAGTGAAGAGATGCAGAGGATCAGAGACATGGATGGACGATTGGTGAAGCAGGATCACCAGCTACGTGAGCTCATCATCTTTAAAGAAACACAGGTACGGGATGTCCGAGTGCACCTGGCTAACAGTATGTTCATTCACATGTCCCCCTCCTGACCTCAGCCTCTTTTTAGATGATGTATAGATGAGCTTTGAAATGACAAGGGCAAACAAAGTAATCTAACCTCATGTGTGGTATCGGTCACTGCTTTATTTAATTAGGCTTTGGTCATTTATGCATTTATGTGGAGGTATCCACACTTAAGGGGTGATGTCAAACTTAACATTTACAAAAAATATATATATTCTGTAGCTCTGTTCACCAGCTTCAATGTGATTTTTCTAAAGGGTAAGCATATTGCCTTCTCCTTCTCCTTCGCCTCTTCTTTTCCTGAACAGCCTGTTTTTGTTGGCAGCATGTTGTCTCTAGCTGTTGGAGACTTGCCTTTTTAGATCTTGCCTTTTAAGCCTCAGTCCTGTGAAACTATTCTCCTATCGCTTTCACAGGTAGGCCAGCTTGCAGAGCTCAGGCGTAGGGTGTCAATGCTGGAGGACACAGTGAGGGAGCTGGAGGCCCAGCAGTGCCGCGGTATCTTCATCTGGCGCCTCAAAGGTTTCTCCGCTCACCTGCGGAACCAGGAAGCAGGCCTGCCGGTGGTGGAGCACAGCCCCGGCTTCTACACGGGCTGTCCGGGCTACAAGCTGTGCCTGCGTTTACACCTGCAGACCCCTAACGCCCTGCGCTGCTCCAACTACATCTCCCTCTTTGTGCACACCATGCAGGGAGCTTTTGACGCGCAGCTGACCTGGCCATTACAAGGCACCATCCGGCTCGCCATCCTAGACCACGGCCCCGAGGGTCAGCACCACATGGAGGTGATGGAAACGAAGCCAGACCTGCAAGCCTTTCAGAAGCCCACCATCCTGCGCAACCCCAAAGGATTCGGCTACGTTACCTTTATGCACCTGCATCAGCTGAACCAGAGAGCCTACGTTAAAGACGACACCATGCTTATCCGCTGTGAAGTGACACCACGATTTGACAATATGCCTCACCGTGAGGGACCAACAGTGCAGCCCAGAGGGCCTGAGGCATCAGTTTCAAGGGACTAAAGTCAAACACATATCTATGACAGCGCGATACATCTCCCAATGTCTCTGTACTTCTCAGTTCATTTTATTGGTTCACATCAGCAGGAGGGAGATTAATGTTGACCGCCATTTAATATTTGGAAACGGCAAGTATGCTAGTATTTATTTGTTTACCAACTTTTAAATGTCAAAATAGTTTTTGTTTCAGTAGATATGCACATGCACGACATGATCCTTTTTTTTTTAATTCATTTTGAAATGTATGTATGTATTCGCCTATATGGTACCAACATTCACCAACCCTCCTTTGTTCAAATTGTGTAAATAACCAATGTGTAATCAGCTCAACATAACCAGTTAAAGAGATGTTCTCGCTGCCTGCAGACTGACAATAACTACAAACTTTGCTCTCTTCTTGTGGTTGTTGGAGACGGTATACACCCTGTGGAGTTTTTGACCTCTGCTGGCAGAATGGAGCAGCGTTTTGGCAAGCAGATCCCCATTTCTATGTTTTACCTCATCCTCTACGACCACACACACACACACACACACACACACACACACACACACACACAAAAGGATCCACTTGTATGCATTCTTAATGACTGCAGAGGGAAGGAATGAAAATGAGTAGTGTAGAAAAGGCAAACAGGTGAAACAGCACTGGGCTGTGTGGCATTTTTTTATTTGCAGTTGCCACGGTTGGGATCGTGAGAGATATGAAACGCTTGGGTCCAGATCATATAAAAGAAATGACTGCACAACAAAGAAGTGCCACAAACGCACTGAAATCACTCTTCTTATCACAATATGAGACCTTAGTCCAACAAGAATAAAGCTTCTGGAATAGCTCTAACATTGTGCTATTTTCATGCCAAAAACATGGAAGCCTGAAGAACTTTTTCATGTCAGGTGAGCAGCTTCCATTGGAATAAATGGGGCACTGTTCAGTTCTGTTTAATTTATCTGTGGGTCACACACGACGCAGAGGAGCATCGTGTCACCTGGGGGGAATTGAAGCGGCAGACAAAGCAAAGAAACACATCATACCATGTCCATCAAAAACAGGAGGACAGTTTCATGGCGGCATCATGGTAATCAGCTGAGCAAAGCTCCAAGACAGGGTGAAGAAGAAGAAGACGACGACGACGTCTAGTTCTTGTATTTAAAGATGGGAAATACTGCAAGTTTCAAGATATTCAAAAGTCTGCTTTGCAAATGTTTTGTGAGGAAGGAAGTGCATTCGATAGATATGTTGTGCCTCTGTGACGCAGTGTATGTTGACTGTAAAAATCTCCACAGGGTGCTTTTTGTTTTGTTTTAAACTAGGGTCAGTGTAAAGATTAGGAGTATCAATAGTCAAACTCATGTTCTCCAAATTCAACATGTAATGCTTCACTATTTTTTGTGACTGTATATTTTTGATAAATACGTTACAGCTAGTCACCGAGTTGCTCATGTTGCTTTGGGCTGCCACAAACTCCTGCCGAATGTGCCTCATGTCACCTGTGCCTCATGTCACCTGTGCTTAATGTGCCTACTGTGCACTATCAAAAGCATTTCAACAGTAGACATAAATCCACCATCATGGTTCAGTGTCTTCAATGTAAAACCCTGTTTAAGGCGCTAAGGCTGTTTAGTCTCCTCAGTAGATTGTGTTATGTATTGGTATGTCGCTGTTCAGTGATGTGACTGTATTAACAATGATATCTCTTGATGTAAATGATAGAACAGGTTCTCATTGTGAATCTTAGCATATGATCCAATGCTGATGGAAATAGCCTCAAATTAAAGTTGAGCATACTGTCTCCCACTGTCTTGGACTATACATTGATACATTACTGTGTGATATTGCCATGTAACCAAGGATCAAATGATATGTCATCCATAAGTGACTTATTTGATGACTTGCTTTATCTTTTGTTGCTACTGAAGGAGCAACAGTAAAATATTACCTGTAAGAAAAGGTATTGAAAACTTGTTTAGAAAGTTTTACAACAAGAAAAAGCTGTGAACACATTCAACATCATTTTTATTCATTTAAAATAAGGTCCAAACCAAATCAATGTTCCCTTCCCCACAACAATGATCACACCTCAAAATATTCTTAAAATCTCCGATATGCTACTAGAATTACCTGCGCATGTGCTACCACCTACTATCATCACGTTTATTCATCAATGTAAGGAAATTTTTTGTTAGCTCCGTATCCCGGGTGACCCGGTTTGACTTCCCCTCTTTCCTGTTTGTCTTCTTTCTCTGGTTCACCTTGAGCTGCGTCGTTGGAGCTGCTCGCCTTGTAGCCTGTTAGCGATGCTGAAATTAAATGCCATATTAATATTCAAAATAAATATCAACATGCACACAGTGGTGTTAGAATGGCTGTTGTGTTTTGTCTGTTGTCATAGTATGAGTCAGTCTTTCCTGTGTCAGATTTTTTTTGACTCACGTGGAGATCTCGGAGCTTCTTTCCCACACTTGAGTGTGCTCTGAGCAAAGCACTCTGCCATCCAGGACAACACCTCTCCACAATATCTGACCTAGAGACGGGTGAGCCAGAAACCAGAGACTTATGCGCTTCCTAGATTTTTAATTTGAAACATGCTGAGGAAAATGCAACCAGGTGATGTGTGAAATCGTGCTGTTGAGGTCACTTTTCCAGGTTTACCTGAGCCTCCATGGATGCCAGTCGTTTCTCTTGGTCCTTAAACCCACCGACAATCCTCAGCAAGCTCTGAACCCTTGGTATCAAACAAAAATCAGTTAAAAACATATTCAATGCTGCAGTGATCATTTTGTACCACCAGGGGGCAGAAGAGCTTTAAAACGAGCTACGGCGTGGTGCTGGGCAGGTAGTGTAGACTGTATAAAAAAGGATTTTATCTTGCTATGATCGGAGTACATGACAGTTTTATCCACAGTAACACAATTGCAAAATGACAATTACTTAGAGGAGGTGCTCTTGAGTCTCTCCTCACTGCTTTCCCAATGCTGGCGCTCCAGTTTGGCCAGGTAGTTCTCTTTCTGCACCGTCTCCCATGTTATCAGCCTCTGGTCTAGCCCTGCCGGCAGCTCCCTCTCTGGCAAAACACACACACACACACACACACACACTAGGAGGTCCCCCAATAACCAATTAACCAACAGGCAATTTCCAAGGACAGAGCAGGTGAAGGACAGAGATAAAAAACACAGTCTGTTTGCCTGTATTTTCATTTAGCCTAATTTTTAATTTAGCCAGATAAGCCACAAGGAACTACGTCATCTGCTTGAAATAATGAAATATACGGAAATGTGCGTATGGACCCTTCATACCCAGGTGCTCCTGCTTGGACTCGGGCTGTTTGACCAGGCTGAGGAGGATCTGAGAGAGGTGGCTGATGATGATGAAGGGCGGAGCCAGTGCCGGACGGCTGTGGTATTCCACTATCAGGTTGTATCTCTGGAACTTCCAGAAGATGTCCGTGTTGCCCTGCACTACCTGGAATGTGTAGCTGTAAATGGGTAAAAAAGAAAGAGGAAGAAGAAGAAGAAGAAGAAGAAAGAAATAAAAGCCAATAAAATGTACAAAGAAGCCACCAGCTCAACTCATTTCATCAGACAGACAATCATGGGGGCAGTTTTCTGGATTCCCACCTGAACATGGCAATAAGCAGATTGAGCAGCAGGACATTGGTGACAAGAAGGAAGATAACCAGCAACAGAATGACCAGCCAGTTGGCATAGATGTTGGGACACGGCGGCCGTAGGCCCATGATAATCTCCTCTGAGTCATCGGTGCAGTTAATTTCAGGCATGCGAGCAGCTGTGCTCCGTTTATGAAAGAACAAGAAAATTAGATTAGCATTCAGCAACATTCAGGCCAACAGAGAGCCATCCCGGGCTGCATGAATGAACAAAATGTAACATGACAATAAACTGTCACGCTGCACAGCACACATTTGGAAGTCGCATCTTCTTTATACCAATTAAATATAGAAGAAATGTTGCATCCGCTGTGATTTTACCATCTATTTCCTCCAAGGGGATCTGACCGAAGATGTGCAGGTAGGGGCGGTACAAGGCTCTGCGAAACACCCAGTCGATCCTGGGGTCGTTGGGGTGGAGGAGAGCCTGGGTGGCAACGCCGTACGCAATGAGCCACACGCTCAGGAAGAAGAGGAAGAAGAAAACATCCTTCATCTGGTGGATGGAGAAACGGACATGTATTCATCTGTGACCAAGAACTTCACTCTCATGTTGAGACAGTAGTATTTTTGCTCCGCTCACCATTCTCTCCACAATAATGATCTTGGGGCCGAGCTGCTTGTGGATGGCAAAGATGTGGATGAGACGTAGAGTGAAGACCATGAAGTCTATGGCCAGCACGGTCCTCCCTGCCTCATAGGTGTGATCAACCATCCTGCAAAATCCAATTAACACGGACATTACTCTTTCATTTCTGCCCCTCCTTCACATTCTGTCATTAGTTCATTCATTCATTCTTTCATCTTCATCACCTGCATGAAACCCCAACAACAAAGAGTGAGATGGCGACCATGTCGCACTTGTTCCAATTGTCCTCGACATAGAGCTTGAACTTCTTCAAGATGCTCATCTCTTCATCCGTGAAAAAGCTCTGCGTCATAAAAGACAATTGATGTTTTACTATAAGACATAAACAGTTGTAAAAGGAGTTCAAGAGGAGATCACAGCGAGTCATTTTCTTTATCTTTGGTACCAAAAGTGTGATCTGACATTTATTTCTGTTTCATTTCTCATTCCGACATTTCTTTTTTCGATCATACTCTTTGACTCTTTGTGTGGTTTAGTAGCTTTATTAATCTGATAGAAAGTGATGTGTGTGTCACTGTTTTGTTTTGTTATGACAGAAACTAAAATTTATTATATACAGTGTTTGTAATGTGCATCCTTGAACATGTTGCTATTGGCTGAAAGAATGGGACGAAATAAATCAGTCATATATTTAAAGTTTCCGTTCATGTACCCTGAATAATTCCAGAAGTTTATAGGTAGATGAGGCTTGAACAAACCTTTGAACCTTTTAACCATCAGCTGTGTCTGAACAGAGGTTATTTTCTCTCTCTACTAGAGCTCAGTAATAATTCTCTCATGTAATCACGCCCTCCGCCAGGTCACACACCGGAGCTCTATTCAGACACACCTGCAGCACCAAACGGGAGTTAGAAAGCACACAGCCCCACTGCTTCAGTAGCACCTGCAGTGTCCCACTTTCTCGCTCCTGTACAATGTCTCTTACACCTGAAGTGCTGAGGTTGAGTGTCTCTCGTGGGTCGATCAGGGCACCTGTAAGTGCACCGAGGCAGCAGCGCTCGGTCTCTCGATGGCACAACTGGCTGACTAGCTGAGAGGTGGAATACTGCTTTTATAAAGTAACAGACTGGTGTGTGTGGTTGTGTGTGGTTGTGTGTGTGTGTGGTTGTGTGTGTGCTCCGACTGTCGACAAATAAATGCCAACGTAATGGTTGTCTGCATTGACTGGACGTAAAATGTGATCTGATCTGACAAGCACAGACAAAACGCAACGTGCAACTAAAATCTAATGATACAATAACAATCTTTCACGTCTGTATGTAACACACCCATTTAACATTCAAAGCGGCTTTGGCAGCTCTGAGTACCTGCACAATGCTCAGGAGGAATAGTCTATATATAGATACACATACATAGCAACATACTGTATATGTTGTCACAGCTTTGTGAGAGTGAGGAGTCTTGCACCGGCTCATCTATTAGATTTAAAAAGCTGGTAAACCCATAGTCTCTAACCTTGTTCTACGACAATTATGATAAGAAACAGGGGCCCCATTGGCACTGTCTTCCTTTAGGGAGAAGCAGGCACCCCAGAGCCATCCCTTTGAAGGCACAGGAGCCCTGCTGGGTTTTGGTAGCAGGCCAGAGCCGCCTGTGGCACTGTGGTGGTTCTTTTTTTGGAAACCTGCGCCATAGTTCTGTTCAGCTCAGGGACTTTCTGAGATGCACGTTGAAAAAGTGAGCCGGGGGGGGGAACGGAGGTGAAGCCCTGTCTCATCTGGGGCTTTTGTGCCCATGGGAGCAAGTCTGAACGGGATCAGTGAAATAAGGGCTCATGCTTGTCTGACCTGGCTCACCGGGAGGGAGTCGGGCCGAGAGGTGAAAGGCTCATGAATCCTTAAAGCCCCAGAGAGAATGAGCTCATTGCAGCGATTCACATCAGATCCCACTCAGATGTGTCTGTGTTGGCAGGTATGAACTCTGTCATGCCAGCACATCTAATAAAAATGGCAGAGCTTCAAAATGGGTGTCACACTGCATAGACTGATAGGTGTGGAAAACCTAAAAAGAAATCACTAAATAATGATCTGAGAACTTGAAAAATCTGTTTGGAAAAAGCAGCGAGGCCGGATGCTTTGATGGTCACCTGCCGAAGCTCCTCCAGCACCAATGTGAAGACCCAGAAGTAGAGCATGATCTCCGGGGCCCCGGGACCAGAGGGCGGCGGTGGGCGGAAGTCTAGCAGGAGCACGTAGGTGAAGAGGCAGAGGAAGGCGAAGTACATGATGACGTTACCGAGGAACACGGTGACGGGAGCGCTCCAGAAGCGACGCCAGCGGCGGATTAAGAAACGCCACCAGACAGAGGCACAGCTCTGAGCTGCTGGATCTCCAGGTGGAGAGTCCCTGCAAATCAAAGGGGTTTTTATTAACATACAAAACATAACAAGTATATAATGATCTAAACACCCGGTGTATCCTGGCCTCTTTAATTGGAACATGGGAATATTACTGATGCTGCGTTAACGTTTGATGATCGGCTTTGATGATGCAGGGCTGGATGTACTCCAGGTTTTATGTTACGCCGTCGCTGATGTACATTGTTTTGTGTGAGCTTCTGCGGTGGGTTTTTTAGCCATTTTTATTATGTTTCATGCATTTTGGCTGCAAGACAAGTTAAATTCCCCTCAGGGAAAAACAAAGTGGAATATACAGGAAGTTGAAATTAAGATGTGAATTGGTGTAGTTTATATGATTTTTATACTTTAGCTGAATTTAGGCTGAGGTCATGTGCAGCTTTATTGTATAATGCAGGAATGCTCACTTTCTTTTTAAATTTGAATCATTATTTAAAGATCAGTTTAAGTATTTCATGATGGCAAACTCACAGAGGGTCGTCATCGTCAGTCAACAGTAAAGCCTTCTCTGTGTCCAGACTGTCCAGCTCCACAAACTGCTCGCGGCCGTTGCGGTTGTCAAGTTCCTCGTCACTGGGAAACACACACACACACACACACACACACACACACCCACACACACACACACACACACACCCACACACACACACACACACACACCCACACACACACACACACACACACCCACACACACACACACACACACACACACACACGAGTGCGTCAGTGCAACGCAACAAAACGACCGTGCAGCGCATCCGCACGGCTGGAAGGGCAAACGGTGGGGGGCAAAGCGTGAGACTGATCACCTGAACTTTATGAGGTTGGTCCAGATGAGCGGCGGACAGAAGAAAGACACCACTAGTTTGGAGATGGCCGTGTCCGTCGTCATCGCCCCCCACCAAATCTTTGTGAGGAGAGCCTGCGGAAAAACGTTTCGGTTTCATGTAATTTAGGGGGGAAAAAAATCATCAGATAGTTTCATTACAGGGGGTAAACTAACTGAACAGGTGAATGATATTATCCACAAGAGGGCACCACAGGCCCGAGGATAGTTCTGCCTTACAGTTTGTGACTGTATCCATGGAAGCATCATACAGGGAGTTGCCCCAGATGGTTCACAGGCAAAAAAATAAATAAATGAAAAATGCAAATTTTTCCTCTTCGTCAAACCATTTCATGTCGTGTGTGAACCATGTCCTTCTCCACAACTCCTGCAGTTGCAGTTTGGGATGAGGAAATGCTTTTCTTGGTGCATGTTCTTGTCGCAAACAGACCAGAAAAATCCATATTCTCTTGAAACATCACACGTTTACCAAAATATAATTAATGGTCTCCCATTAAAAAAATTAAAAAATTATTCCCACTGTGTGCTTTAAATACACTGTTACTTCACTGTCAAGACTTTTCTGCACACTAACTCTCTCTGATGACATTGAATTACCAATTAACTCCCAATAATGATTTTCTAATGACAAAGACGTCTGTTGCAGGGATATTTAGACAAATGCAGTGAACGGAGGCCAGGGAGCATGAGCTATGGATTTGAAGTAGGTGTGCAATGCCCTGGAAAAGTGTTTGATAACTGCAGTACTTCAATACTAATAGAGGGCAGCAAAATAAATCACCTACTTCTCTACATCAAACGCACAATACTTTGAAACTGTTGGGTGAAAGTTAAATGTTTTTACAATAGCTGAAAGAATCAGTTCAGTCAGAACCAAATGTGGAGCATATGAATGCGTCTCCTTGTTACCTGCACTCCGTCGTGGGCAAAGAAGGATTTGGCGTCTGCCTCTGTTGCCAGGTTGAGGACTGTAGATTTGCTCCAGCAGTGTGTTCTCCTCACCAACAAAGCATAAGCTCTGTCTTCACTGTTTGAGTAACACTCTCCAAAGACATCTGCCACAGTAACAGGTACACAGTGTCAAACACTCGGCTTCATTTGAAGCATTCGCACATTCAGATTCATGCTTTACTCGCTCCGGCTGGATCGTGTTTGTGCTTGTGAAAGACGGCGCCGTCAGCAGGTCAGTGAACATACCTGTTGCTATGTTTGACCCTTACTTTTTCCCGATCACACGCTCAACCGTCGTCGTTGGACGGTTCACGTACTCACCAAGTGCAAACTGCTCGTACTTGGCCTCCTTCATGCTGCGTGCAGACTCAGCCTCAGATTCCAGTCGTGCCATCTCTTTCAGAATCTTACAACCCGCCAGCGCTGCCGCAACCGCCTCAGGGCCCTGAAGGATTAAAAGAAAGCTGAATCCAAGAAATGGGTTTGAGAGAGGGATCTGAGAAATCTAGTTTAGACTTTTAGTGAGCTGCGTAGTTGGCATCGAAATGCATGTGTGCATCCAGCTGCAATAGATACGTTCCTATCTCCAAGTCCACCCCCAGTTTCTGAAGGTCCACTGTTTGATTTGGCCATGAAAATTACAGCTCTACCACACAGCATATAATTACCCTGCCTTCGATATGAACAAAACCTGGACAGCGTCGGATGATATCAGTATCTCTGACGTAGCTAACGTAGCTGTCGCAGCCCCCCCGCCCCGGGGTCCCAGAGGTCAGGGGGTCAACTACCTCTGTATGAAGTGACTGTCAATACAAGAGAGGAAAAATGGCCACAAAGTGACACAAAACCACCTCAAAGATCCAAAACTTTGTTGTCGTTTTGTGTCTGTTTCAGCCTGGAGCTCCTATACAGCAGGGCGGGGTGGGGGTTGTGTGTGTGTGTGTGTGTGTGTGTGTGTGTGGTGGGGGGGTGGGGGGGGCTTTTACCTGTCTGTGCCTAGGAGCCAATTTCCTTATAATCCGTCCATGGTTTGGGTGTGATAGCAGGCTCTAACCCCACGTTTTGAATTTTAACAATGCAGTTTCTTACACCCTTGGAGTCTCACCTTGGATGTTCCTTCTACTGAGACAGAGAAATCTTACTACAACCTTGATGGGCCCCACCAATGTTTTTGCATGAGTTTGGCCTATTTATTTCCATTTATGAACACTTATCATTTCTGCTTTTATTTTCTTAAGCACATCCTTGGTTTTAAGCCTTTTGTGTGCGTTTTTGCTTCATTCCAAACTTTCATTTAAGTTTATTTCAGTGCACAATAAAGAAAAACAAAAAAAAAAACAACTTGAAACGTCCTCAGTGTCGAGTAATTCATCAAGTCTTCATGTACCCTTTAAGTTATTTTGTGGTTGCATACAGATGTGCTTGAAAGTGCAAACTGATCTGCATCATCATCGTCATCTCTGTATGTTGTATGCATCTAGAGCTTTTGCAAATGTCTGGAAAACCACTGATATGATCCTTTAATAGTCTCAAGAATATTTCAGCACTTTGGGAAATATGTTCTTTTGGCCTCTTGCTGAGAGCTACGATGAGAAAATGAACACGACTCTGTCTATTCAATATCAAGATGGTTAGCTTAGCTTAGCATAAAGACTGGAACTGACTCTGTCTAAAGCAGCAATGCTCCTGGCCAAGAAATAACCCCAGCACATAAAACCCCAGTAAAGCCACAACTTGTTGTCTTTACACGTCAGCTTTTGTACAGATTAATCAAGTGCGATATAATGCATTAGTTAATTAGCTTCAGAGGTGCTGGTCAGTAAACGTGTCACTTGTGGACAGTCTTTATGCTAAGCTAACTGTCCTCTAGGTTGAGCTTCATATCAAACAAGCAGATATGAAAGTGGTATCAATCTTCTCATTTATCCCTCAGCAAGACACTGAACAAACTTATTCACTTATATGTTGCACCGTCTCTTTAAACCAGATTGATTTCTTGTCCATCATGCGCACATGTGAGGATGGAGGGAAGAGGATGAGACAGAAGCCGACCGATAATCACTGTACTCTTCCTCGCAAAGAAAACCATCACTCCGTCCTTTCAAGGAACAGACTGGCGTCGTCTCTTATGGCATTATAGTACATTATATTGTCATTTTCTATACTCAACAGGTAATAGCAACCTTTACTTTGCAGAAGAAACATCGACCAACGTGACAAATGTGTATATGAAGAGCAACACACTCAAACACAGGGCTCTCCATTTGAAGTTACACCTAGAGCTTCGGACCTCAAACCTCTTTATTTAAATGATGAATGGTTTTCTGTATGTTTACGCTGCATAATGTCACTCCTGGGCCCATATGTATGTGCATATTCATTTCTGAGATATTTTGCTTGCATAAGCTCGCCTGCAAGGGTAATTGTGATGAGGCCTTCAACACGAGAGATACTTCAAACAATCAAATTATGAATGCAGATATCCCGGTCAGAGTCTGAGTGGTGAAACGATTTGCAGTGGTGGGTGGGGGGGGTGTACACACAGTGAATGCAATTACCATAATTTCAGATAATGTTTGAAATAAGACGCAGGGAAAGGAGCACATCGCGGTGACCGCTTGTGAGATTACAGTAATTGGTTCCCTTGGATCAGGGGAGGGCAATAAAGAAATAAAAGGCGCCTTGAAAATAAGTTGAAAACAAAGAGCAATTACCAGTGACGGGTGTCATTTAAACTGTTCATAGAGCATCCATTACATGTCAGGATATATTTCTCATTAACTTGCTCAGGACTTCAGACACGCCTGCACCACCTCACCACTGGTGCGCCGCTGCTTGAATATACTGCCCCAGCGAGCGGCCTGACCTTCATTTGAATAATGTTCTTGGAGATAAGATAGCTTTTTAGTTCACCTCAGCTCTTGGTAAATATGCCGTTTGCCGGGCTCTTTTATCTAGAGTGACATTTTCATATGGCAGGACTGACCTGCACCTGCACTGCGCCGGCCCACATTACTCATGTTCACACTGAATTCAGAATACAAACTAGCACAGTATAATTCATCTCACTTAAGTTTGGTTTGAGTGTTTGTTTGTTTTTTTGCCAATGCCAGGCAAAATTCGACTTTTATTGATTGAAGCGCCCAGCACTGAGCGAGCACGAGCTGGAACTGAAAACAGTAAAGAAGCTGACAAGACTGACCATGGCCCAAAAGTAGTTGGCCATCTGCTGTCGGTTCTGAAGGACGGCCCAGAGGAAGAGATCCCTCCAAGGATGTTCAGAGCGCTCCTCTAACTCAGCCAGGTTCTTCTGGCTGTGGAACAGTCGACCCTTCGCCGGCTTCTCCTGGAGCACACAGACAGCACACTACATGTATTAAGTCTACTCAGTTTGCAGAACATGCCGTTATTAGATAAGTCGTACAATCTATGGCAGTCAATATTGTAAATTACTCCCTCTGCCAAGATGGGGATTTTTGCCTGGTAGTCTGTCTGTCTGTCTGTCTGTCATATCTCGGAAAATGCAGAGAGTGATTTCTACGAAACACGCTGAACAGACAAACCTTCAGCCAAAAACAAAAAAACAAAAAAACAAAAGCAATTTGATTTTGTTCATGGTCTGATGTGTAATTTCCTCCCTGAGATTATCACCTTTTTTTTTTTTTTTAGCTGTGCAGCATGATACAAACGACATACGTTACACAACAGAGAGAGAGAGGTAATTAATTTGCACATCCTGAGGATATGTTAAGACAAGATTTCTCAGGATGTAACTGCAGATTTGCGATGATGATCCATGGCCTCTTCCTCTCTGCAGTTATGGTGAAAGTGAAGCAGTGCCCCCCCCCCCCAACTTGGGGTGTCTGGATCTGTGCAGAGGGGCTGCATCATGTCAAACAGGGCTACACAAATCAAATCCAATTTTCCATGACTTCAATAACATGATGTAATTCCAGAAACAGTATCATGGGGTAACGCAGATGGAAGATCCTCCCAAAGGGTAAAAACAATGGGACGTCACTTTAGGAGAGAAAAGCTGAGACAGAAGAGCAGGATTAACTAAAAACTGTGACGAGGTTATTGGTCTGACTTTCTGTTTCACTTCTGCAGGATGAGAGTCACCGTTTTCCAGGAAGTGAGTTTACCATGAAGTCTGCACATCGTCTATTTCTCTGCATCCTCCAGTTTGAAGTGAAACAGTCTGAGAGGGTTAGGAGTGAAATATCACTCTCTGCTCACAACTCTCAGACAAATGCAAACTGTGTCAAAGGGTCACAAACACACATCACTTCACTTTATGGCGTCACAGGTTGAAAAGGATGAGAGCAGCTGCAAGACGCAGAAAAAGGTGGAACCCAATTCATCGTCTGAAGGATTTCTTATTCAGTGCAGTGTATACGGTTTACTGGAGCTTTTGTGACCGAGTACACTCACTGTGGGAATCTTCTGGTAAAAGCCTTTGCAGGAGTCATGGAGGAAGTCCTTCAGCACCTTGGCGACCTCGTAGAGGGTGAAGCGGGGTTTCCCCTGCTCGGGCGGATGGTGCCCAGGTGGACCGGGCGCCCTGGCGGCTCCGAGCAGGAGCTGCTTCTCCTCGTACTTTTTGAGGAGCAGGTTGTGCAGCAGGCTCTTCTCTGACACGGACCAGTAGAGCTCCTGCAGGCGACCGTAGGTAAGGAACTCGCCCAGGTTCACCCCGTTGTCCACGAAAAGGCGCACAAAGTCTGGTTTGTCATTGATCAGCGCGTCCATCATCACCTCCTCCAGGTCGCACGCCTGCAAAGATCCACGTGTTACAGTGACTCATAGAGCAGTGGAAAGGTTTTTGTAATTGCTGGGTTCTTTTCTTATTTACTAAAATGTGCACTGGCTTGCCACTCTTGTTTTTGTGCTGTCTAATGAGTCACTAGTCAATAAATCATTTTCATATTGATTGAATACAAATAATGACAAATAGGATTAAAAATAAAAGAAAAGCTCAGACAAGCTTTTTTCTGGCTCTAGGGATGGCAGACATTTATGATTGAACTTTACTTTGTTAAACACACTGAGTATAAGACTAATGTAATGTAATTACCGGAGTGTGACAAACCTCTAATCAGATCACTCTGTATTGATCTCACCTTCCACTCCACATCCCCGTTGAAGATGTCACTCTTGGCGATATCCACCCGGTTCCAGGCCACAGCCAGCTTCAGTTCATCCAGGAAGTCCTGAGCTTCCTGACTTTGGCTCTTACAAGCTGATGCGCAAACACACAGACACACAAGATGTCAACGAATTATGAAGGGCCCGAAATGTCAAGGCTAACTCTCTCTCTCTCTCTCTCTCTCTCTCTCTCTCTCTCTCTCTCTCCATGCAACTGCAAAGTCAAATTGCGAGTTTCTTGATAACATACAGTAGCTCTCACAACAAGTGCTTTACCCTTGACGAGAGCTTTGAGAATGACTGTATCCAGCTCCGAGCTCTCCTGCTCAGGGTCGTGCACGGTGAGGAGATGCCCGTGATCAAGTATCTTCTGGATCTGATTGGCAGGATGACAGTCAGTTATTATTAACACCCCACTTGATTTAAGTTATGTGTATTTTTACAACCGTTTCCCTGTGTATGTCAGCTTGAAAAAAAAAAAAAATCTCACATTATTGGTATCTTTCCCTCCTCCTTCATACCCTTAATTAGGTCATCACATACAAATTTTTGAAGATAAGGCTGAAAAATCCCACATTAGCTCCTCTCGCAATCTTTCCCACTGTGCCCCATTTTTCTGGCAGTGCTGGAGATGTGTGCGTATCCGTGTATGCGCCTGCCTCCGTGCTGTGCACATCGCTCTCACCAGCTTGACCCAGTTACTGACGTCTGTGCTGTGGTGGGCATTTGGAAAGGTGTCCAGCAGCAGCTCCTGAACACTGTCCGTATCCCAGCACCCCTTATTCATCAGTGTGACGAGGATGTCGGCCACGCCTCCCGAGCCTGCCAGGATCAGCCATGGTGTTGAATTGCCAATGCCTTTATACATCCTCTGCAGAAAAAGGACACAGTGTTCAGACATGAAGACAAACTCACAAAATGGCATCATGTTTTTACTTAATAACTTTGCAATCGACAGAGAGTCATATTGATCAGTGTAAGCCGTCTCTAATCTCCTCAGTTATAGCTCTATTTATGCAAATAAGCAGGGCAGGCTTTTGAGTTGAAGAGATTGGTTTTTGTGTAAACAGATATAATTTGTCTCACAGTCTGGCTCTGGCCCGCTACTTCAGGAGGCGGCCCAGACGAAATTTGATTCGGGGCCTAATTCTCAGGCCACTGTTCAAAGTGAGATTATTCACATTCACGTGACAAAACAGATATCTGGGTTTTAAAAAGTCTCTTCGCGGTCACGTCTAAAGTTCTTGAGTTACTGATTGCGCAACGAAACAGAACTCACCTTTAGGATCTTGGGTTCCCCGTGGACCAAGAGACACAGAACAGGGATCTCAAAACTCCCCGCGCCTGAAGGAACCGAAAATTCATAACAATATAATTTGCATCTCAAGAGTGTGTAAAATTCATTATACCTCCCACTACTGTTTGACTGGTGCATCAGCTTCTCCTGTCAACCGCTAAACAACCACTGTCTGACTGAAGTGTTCTTCCCACACGAAGTGAAAAACATCTCTTTCACAGGTTCCCTTCGTCTCCCAGTTAAACCAAAGGATGATGTCACCTCACTGGTAAATTATGAGCGGTTGTGGAGGTCAAACTGTCCAGAGTTCAACTGTTAAATGACAAAAGTCAGGAAGAATAAACATCAATTGCATCCCTCTCTCTGCATATTTATGTTGTGACCCCTTTGTGAGGAAACCCACTATGTCGTATACTATGTGCTAGTGTTTCCCAGTAAGATAAAACATGATACAACCTTTCTCAACAGTGGTGCTGAAAGGAAGTAAGAGGGAACTGTAAAGCAATTTTCAACTTAAAAGTATCCTGGAGGTTTTAATGTCGCATGGAAAACGATTCCCTGTTTTGTTTGTTTTTGTACTCATGATTGTGTGAGTCACATGATGGGTCTCCCTGACGCTCGTTTGAGGCTACTCCACTGGCCGTCAGCTGTTGGTGGTAAACGCACAAAGAAGCAGGCAGAGAAGAAGAGTGACTGCGAGCGAGCAGACGTGGATACGAACAAACACAAATGAACTAAACACATTTGTTAGAGTGAAAACATGAACTCTGGAGTAAACAAACTCTTTGTTTGTTTTACGAGAGAACTCCAGACTACCTTTGATTACTCAAGGTTTTTGCGGAGCAGCACCAGTTATCCACCTCATCCAAGTTTGTGGTTTAAAACCAAAAGAGACCAGAGAGAGAAAAACGTCTGGTGAGTCTGCTCACTCGCTCTTCTCCAGGAGACAGTACACACCTCTCTCCGGGAGTCTGTATTTCACTCTTTAAAATGCATTTTTTATTTCCCATGGGCGATGAGGAGTTTCACTTGCTGCCACAGTAAAAAAAAAAAAACAACAGAGCTCTGAGCTGATGTGCGTTTACTCTACTACTGCATTTGTGTACAATTTAGATTTTACAACAAGCCACATAAAAAGGTCATAAAATATGAAGCAAGGGCTTTTTTAAGCTATCAGTATGTGAAGCAGCTACTCGCCACTGTGAAATAATGCTTAATGCATTACAAATAATATAATAATTCAATACCTCAAAAGAGACGATTTGTTGGAATGAGTGCTTCTACTTTTAATATTTAAATACGTTTTACAGTTTATAGTTCTGTAAGTGTTGTATAAGTAAACGTGCAGGACTCTGGTGTGGTGACTGGTGCTGGAGTAACAGATGCTCACTCTCATCCCTGGTTCCCAGCAGGGACCTATAGAGGGCTTTACCTCCGTAACCAGTGCGCTGAAGAGAGATGTGCTTGAGCAGCTTCACCCTCATCTCGCTGGTGGCTCCCGCTCTGTTGGGATCCTCCTCCACCAGCACAAAGTGAGAGTGGTGGCTGTCCAGGGAGTAGACCGACCCATGAGGCAGGTCCTGTGGCCTGTACGCGGCAGGCTCGTCCGGCTAGAGAGCGTGGATGCAGGCGTGCAGGGGAGACAGAGGACAGTGTGAACACAGTGGGTGAAAATATTTGCTGCTGTGTTGTCTTGTGTGTGTGTGTGTGTGTGTGTGTGTGTGTGTGTGTGTGTGTGTGTGTGTGTGTGTGTGTGTGTGTGTGTCCTGAAACCTTGGCAGTGAGGAGAGCTTGTCGGTCGTGGATCATGTTCCATGGTGCGATGCCAATGGCCACTACTCGAACTTTATAGGAGGTGCTCGCCAAGGAGTGATCTCTCACCGCCTGGCCCAAGTGCTTGGTGATGCCAAAGCGAAGGCCATTAGTTAAAATCCATGCCCCTGAGAACAGAGAAGCAGTCACATACATACATGTGTGTGTGTGTGTGTGTGTGTGTGTATGGGGCATTTGTGCAGACAAACCCTTATTACATGTATGCATCAAACTAGAGAGCTGTGTCCTGGATTTCAGACGAGCAGCTGGTCTATTGATGATGCTAATTAGATTATTGCCTTATATAGTTGTGGTGCTAAAGCATTCAGCGTTAGTCCTCCTTACATACATTAAAATTCATGAAAATATTTGACCAATCATGCAATTAAAAAAAATCCTATAAATAATTCATGGCTCTTATTTTAGACCTCATACATCTAAATAAAAGACTGGCTTTCATCTCTGTGATGTGTTTTCTCGTAGTTCTGCTACCGGTCAACAGAGGGCGACAGAGAACCCAGTCCCTGAGCGGTGCTTTCAAAACACAAAGTTTTTTTTAATTATTATTATTATTATTATTATCATTATTATTATTATTATTATAACCTGTGCTCTGTGCAGCCTTCACAAGTCCTTTTCTCAGAGTGTCCCTGAGCCAGGGCTTCATCTGAGCCACCTCATCTCCTCCCACCAGTGCCACCACCAGGTGTGGAGGAGCCAGGCCCCACTCCTCCGTCAGCATCTGGTAGATCAGCACCGGGTCCGTGTTGCTGGACACCCTCATAAACTGGGTGCAAAGACACGAGTCGAAGTGTCAACAGTCGGACTTGAAAAAAAAAAACATTTAATCTCCAAACTTTTCCTCCTTCTGTCACATAACCCCTGGGTGTTTGTCTAGTTTTCACCTTTCCTCTCGTCTTTGTGGAGCCAACGAAGTCGATGTCGCCCACTCGTCCGGCAGCCCAGTGACTCCTCTCCCTCTTCATTCTGCTGGCCAGGCCTCTGGCTACATCCTCCAGTGTCTCATCCACCGTGGAGCAGCAGGAGCAGCCCAGCAGGACGCTGAGAGAAACACGCATTAAATGGATATGTGAATTGTACCATACAGTCCCTGCTACCAAAACACAATAGAAACCATCCTGTCCTGCTGCTCCTGCTGCTCCTGCTGCTCCTGCTGCAGTGCTGTAGACTGAGGAGTCACTCTCTCAGCTTTTCAGTCTCTACTTTTGTCCATTTTGCCCATCGAGGAGTTTCTTGTGTTGTTCTGTTTGTCTGTTGTTTAGTGGGAGGCTTCTAATGCTAATCAAAGAAATTTCAAAAACATTTGCAGGAAAGTAAAGCCGTGGGTCGGGAACACAAAAATGATTAATTCCACCACGAAACTCCTGCACAGCCAAAGAATGACTCCACGGGAATTATCTGTTTTTTTGACATCCCCCTTTTTTTTTTTCTTCTGACAGATAATTGGACATTGAACAACTCATTATTCTCTACTACACTATAACCCTCACTTTAATTGGGCAAAGCTTTAATAATTTCCAGACGGGGTCATGATTCATATTATGTTGAGGCAGATCCAGATGCAGAGATGGATTCATTAAAAACAACTCATTTGGATGATGCTGCCCTGTTGAACGTTCTTTAAGACTGCTTTATAGCTCGGCCGCTTTGTCCTTAATCTGCTCTATCAAAAATGTAGCACTTTGCTTTTCTCAGTATTTAACACTGGACTAAAGCTTTCCGTTCTACAGCTAGGAAATAATGACCGGCTCTCATGAATTATTTAAATAGAAAACTGTACTTGGAATTAGTTAAGGCTTCTTAGTCCACTGCAAATGTTTGCTTCCTGTAGCACCTCTTCCACTTTCGCTGTGCTAATCACTGGACTGATCTGGATGCTTGCAAATGTCTCTTTTCAGACGCCGTGATGACGATGTCTTTATCGTGAATACTAATACAGCGCTGTCATTTGTTTCAGATAAGAGGTTTCTACCAGCTGTGATGAATGTATTGTATTTATCACTTCATAGGGCTCATTACTGACTTCTACACACACACACACACACACACACACCTGTGCTCCTCCGACCACTCCAGTACGTGGCCACATCTCAGGCAGCGTGTCTGCGGCTGCAGTGTCCCCTGTAAACGAATGAACACCTGTGAATACGTCATGACCTACAGCTGGAAACCTTCTTAGAGATACTTGTGGTCAATGCAAAGTTGGCAGAATTTTCATCCTCGCTTCGCATGCAAAGAGCTTCCTGCCTGATGTTTGGACTTGAAATACACAAACCGCTGTCAATCATATAAAGTGCGTGAAACCGAGGAAAACCGCGCGACGTTGCTTTCGACATCACGACTTGGTTTTGTCGTGTAAGTTATTGTTTTCCCCGCTGAAAACAGCCACAGTCTGTTTATCTCTGAGTGATTCTTTTCATGAGAATAAATGACACCCGGGTTCAGACGGTAAACTCGTTCATTATTGATATGATTATCCATTTGCCTGAGTAAACACAGACTTTTATCAGCCAGCGTTATTTGCATGGGCACTTGAGCTGCTGGTCAAAAGATGAATAAAACAATGAGGCAACACAAGCGGCTATTGCACTGACAAAAAGCAGTGGTGTACCCGTGCACGTTGAATTAAACAAAGAGTTTTTAATAGAATTGTGGTGCTGCGGTTAACACCGTCTGCTTTAATGTAAGTGTTGTCTTGTGGGAGCCTTTATTTGACTACAGCTCTGAGTCTGGGAGGGAAAAGACTACTGGGCATGCAAACAGGACGATTTGCATGCAAAGGTAGAGGAGGAGAGGACGCCCAGCTGTGCGCGTTTTGTGTTTCACCAAAAAAACAACAAACACCTTTACACACAAAACACATTTTACATCTTTCTTGAAGTCTTGCATGATGGACTTAGGGCCCAACAATCTCCTCTTAGACACATGTAGGAGACCGTTCCTCTTGAAATTTAAACACAAAAAGCTTCAACAAAATAAAATCCTTATAAGCTTTTGTGAAAAGCAGTTTCTGTGAATGCAGTGATGCACATACTGAATATCTTACAGGCTTATATCTTAAGGTTTGCTATGAAAGGACATAATTAGGAACCAATATTGTACAAATTGTGGTTTAAAAATCCAGAAAAGGGACGTGGCTCCTCATATTTTTAGTAGAAACACATAAAATATGTGTCTTCATTAGTAATACTGTGGGTAAATTAGAGCATCTCTTTGAGAAAATGATCAAACCCACAACTTCTGCTTCATCTTCAGGTCAACTGTAACTATAACCTAAAGTTTTACTCTATTCAACACATCTCAACACATAAATCTCAGGATGAATTTCCCACATTGTGCTGCCGCCCTTGACATACAGAAACACAGTGTGAGTGGAGGAGGAGGAGGTTGTTAAAACATTCATCATCAGCTACAACATATATATTTCACCAGGCAGAATTCTTTCACATTGACGTGTGAAGTGGATAAACAGAGAAACGACCGTCACCACGCTGCACCATACTCACCAGAGGTGTGTCTTGTCTCTGCTGCATGGCTGACATCGACGCTCCTCGACTCCTCTGGCCACAACGCACCTGTAAGGGCTTTTCATTCCTCCCATCCCTCAGGGTCAGCCACCCGGGGCCCGTCAGGAAGTGGGACAAAGGTGGGGCTCTCCCTCCGGCCAATCCCGACACGGCCTCGCTGCCTTGCTTTGCATGTTGGTCAGCCGCTCCCATCAGCACCAAAACTCTCCTAAAGACAGACACTCACAAGAATCCTTTACTGTTGAAGTCCAAGTCATCCGCAACTAAAGAATTATACAGAATTAAAAATGCAAATTGCAAATCAGCAGCACGGAAAATAGATTAATGCAACAAAAAAAAACTGTCATTTTTCGCATTAGCTTCTGTCAGTGTGACAACTTTGCCATTTTTAATATGAGTGAAATGGAGACGATGTGTAATATATATCAGAACGATTGTCTGACGAGTTCCATGTTAGTATTGTGCACCATCATAACATCTATGCTTACTTTTCTTTGCTCGGCCTCCATTGCAGCACAGATCCGTCGCTGCTGGACTGACAGCTTCGAGAGGAGAAAGTGAATGGCCCCTCCCCTCACTGCCATCACTGAGGTGCCCTTGTGCAAGACCCATAATCCCCAATTTTTCCAGAGGAGCTGCCCAGTGATCAGGTTGAATCAGACTGGGATTTAACTGGCAGCTTGGGAAGTGTTTAACAGTGTGAGTGAGAGCTGCGCCTCCTTCAAGTTTCTCAGCCAAAAAAATCTGTTTAATCAAGCAGAAATTATAATATAATTAACATAAAGTAACCAAATTGATTTGGTTTCTAACACAAATACAAAAAAAAGAACTTTAGAACCTCCTTAGAACAACTCTTCTTTCACTGGGGACAAAAAGCAATTAAAGCAATGACTTTTTAATTACTGTAGTCATGACCTATATGTAACTGAAACTAAATCCCATCTTCCTGACTTGAACTACTTTTCATTTTAGACCATGCACTTACTTTCAGCCTCATCTTGGCAGGAGGACTTTGGCAGCAGAGGCGCCTGTAGTGGCCACTCATCGCTGTTCCCTGGAGGCTGAAGTGCGCTGCAGCGGGTTGGTACCGTCTCATTCAGAGAGAGTGTTTTGCACTGGGTGGCAGCTCGCAGCCGTGCAAATGAAAAGTAGGATGAACTCTCAATGACAAGATTTTGTGTTGAAAAGGTAAATGACATCAGACATTGACTCAGAACTGATGGTTACTTAGAGGGCAGACTTCCAGAGACTTTGATTGATGGTGTCAGTGCTCCTCCTCATCACACAATGAATGAATTTCGTCCCCTCCCCTCATCCCTCAATGCAGACAGCTGCAGCCAATCAACATCCGCAGCTCATTGTGTACCAACAGAGCATCGTGCGCCCTGCAGCTTTTAAATAGTCCCGCATCCATGTGACGAGCAGAGCAGGCCAGAGGGGAGAGACAGCAACAATATCCTTCCAACCTGAACTACACGCAGACTTTGACCATCATAACTCGACCAGAACCACTGAGTGATGACTTCCACCAGGCGCAGAGAGTCGGTTTGCAGGAGTCTGTTTGGCCCGGTGGACCACGAGCAGCTGCGCCGGGACTTGACGCTGAAGCTGAGGGAGATGACTGAGCAGGACAGCCGCCGCTGGAACTTTAACTTCCAGGCTGACGTGCCTCTTCTCGGCAGGTTCGAGTGGGAGGAGATGCCCGCGGACCGCGCTGCCGCTTTCTATCAGGAGTCCGCACAGCTGAAGGACGCGCTCGGCCGTCCCAACACTGAGGATGACGACAGGCTGAGCGACCGTGAAGGGAGCGCGGGGGCCGACCAGGAGAACTGCTCCCGCATCTCCAACACGCGCAAGTGTCCCGCTGAAGTGACGCCCGTCCGGAGGAAGAGGACGCTCTCCAAGGCGGCGGCGGCGGCGAAGCCCAGAGACAACGCGCGAATTACAGGTGAGGAGGAAGTGTTACAGAAACATAATGACTTTTTATTTCATCCTGTGACATCCGTCTGTTTGAGAGAATGTTAAGTGACCAAACATTTTCTTTCTTGTTTTTTCTCTCAGACTTTTTCCCGAAGAGAAGGAGGACGACAGAGACCAAGAGCATCCTGAATCCTCCCCACACAAGTTCCTCTGAAGCAGCTCTGTGCAAAACTATAAGATGAAGCTGCTGCTGAAAATGGAAATTATTTATATTTCTACAGTAATTTTCATGGACTGAACCAAAGCCCATTCACTGCACCAACGGGATTTTATTTTATTTTATTTTATTTATTTTAATTATCTTTTCAGTTGTATCATTTGTGCCTGACATGACAAAGTGTTATTTATTTTATTTATGGAAACTTTTTTTTTTTTTTATTTAATGTGTTTTCATTTTCTTCACCAGTGACGTCACAAGTGTGTTTGTTAACTTATCCAGTTGTGTGTTTTTTTTTTTTTTTAATTTTTATTTCTATATATTTCATGTGTTTGTCAACCTTCCCGGTGAATGAATGTATTGTGCTGAGCTACTTGTGTTAATTGTGTTAACGATATATAAAAAAGCACTATATGTTGTCCTGAACTAACTGAGATGCAGATCAGAAAGATTGTAAAATGTTTACAAATGTTGTAATTTTTAATAAACTATTTTTTTTCAGAGTTACTAACTGTACTTCTTATTTTGTGGTTGTTGTGTTTTCTTCATGGGGAACTTTTCCTTTGGACATACAGTTCACTTACAGACAATAATCCATATTCGCTTGTTGATAAATGCGAATTCATTAGTTATTTGCACCCAAACCTTTTTCAATATGGAGAACATTCTTTACATATTTTACAGTAAACTCACTCCTAGACACTTAATCTTGAATAAAATGTGACAAAACATTTCAAGAAGCCACATCAGTTCAGGGTTTAGTTGTGTGTTAATGTGCGACACGTCTCTTCGGCTCGGTGACAAGTTATCTGAACAGAGTTGAACAGTCAGCCTTGAACACTGCAGCTGTTTTTTCTTCAAATGTTTTTACAGCCGTTCCAGTCATTACGAGTGTGACTACCACTTTATATAAAAGCCACTGAATACCAATCTGAGGTTCAGGATTATACCCACTGGTGAACAGAGTTTTAGAATGATTGTTTTTCCAGCATGGCTGCAGTCTTATGAGAGAGCAGGTCTTTGGTTTAGCGGCAGCCGCAGATGACCACGTTCATAAAAAAAAAGTGTTCCTCTGAGGAGTTGCAAGTTTGGCAAACGAAAGAAAGAAAGAAAAAAAAAAAAAGGTTTTAGAGTAATTGCATTTTCCAGGATGTATTATGAAATGATTCATAATCACAGTCATAAGCACTGTGCTGTCAGGCTTAAAATTATATCCGTTAATATGAGCTGTAACTGCCAAATTAGCCCATTAGTGAGACCAAATCCCACAGAAGCGTTTGCACTCCCACAGTGTCGCGGGGTTTCAGCTCTAAAGCATTTTCAGAGGCCATCTGGCCGGAGTGCAGGACAATGGCCACAAAGCAGAGTGTGCCATCTATTTCACCTGCAAATCAGCCCTTAGGACCCCCCCCCCACCCCCCACACTCAACTTTTCTCTTTTCACTTTGTCCCTTTTCATAGTCAAAGCAGCTATTATCACCGACATGTGCCCAGTTTACTCTCGCTCCGGCTCATGTTTGCTTGTGTGCCGCCGTGTTCATATTTACACACGGGCGTAAAAGAAAAAGCAAACATCACATTTACATCTTTAAACGACTCAGTGGCAACAAGAACAACAGCGTTGAGTGTGTTATTTCTGATTTAGGGACGGGATGATCTCACTCTCTGCTCCAGCGGGTTCATTCCTTCATTACCGGTCGAGAAATCAATAATCAAACTACCCCAAGGGTCCGAAAGGTCCCATGGGTTCCCCACCCATTACCCAATTAAATTCTCTTAAAGATGTACACCACAAGCCGCTCAGTACATCATCAGTGAAGGAAGCTTTCAGTGCCTGTGTCAGTTAATATTATAGTAATGCTCCTGCTGAATGAATGGAAATGTACTTAAAACAAAATACACACGAGCTGAATCTTTGAGGAAGTCTTTGTATACGTCCGCACATGATTGGCTTTTCCTGTTTAAATGTTACCTGTGATGTGTTTGTGATAATGACCATGATGAAGCGTTGCTGGAGTTTTGACCTTTACACAAAATAAAAACCTACGCTGTGACTTTACTTCCGGAAGAGAAACTGTTTTCATTTGCATGAGCTTCGGCAAAATCGTCCAAATTAGAAAAAGCTAAATGAGAAAAAACAAGAAAGGTGATAACTGATTAAGTTTCATTAATCTGATATAAAGGACATACTGAAGATTCAGGAACGCACAGGTTGAAAGGATTAAAGTATAAATCATTATTAATTGATGTCATTTTTTTTTTAGCAATTAGCATTTTATTATATTGTGATATATAATCTTTTCTTTCTTTGCTGTAACTGTTTAACCGAAGCAGTTATTCATGTTGTTCAGTCTTGCACTTTTTACTTGTGGATGGACTGATCCTCTGTGTTTATGACTGTTATGCTAATTACTGATTTCCTCCTCTGTACCCAAAATAGCCCTAATTACCAGGGTGAGTGGGAGGGGGGTGGGGGTAGGGGGAGGGGGGGGCTTTTTAAAACCTCCACACCCTCCCTTCTAATGAAACTCTCCCCTCACCCAACTCATGGTCAGCACAAAGGTCCGACCGCCCTCAGCACACTTTAGGAGGGTGGGGCCCATTGTTGTGGACACCAGAGGCAGATGGTCATTTGGGCCTTTTCTCGAACAGTTAATTCATGTTTGTTCAGTCTTGCACTTTTTACTTGTGAATGGGACTGATCCTCTGTGTTTATGACTGTTATATGCTAATTACTGATTTCCTCCTCGGTACCCAATAATAGCCTAATTACCAGG